GCATGTATATACAATATGCATATATACATACATACATATATATATATATATAATACACTATACACTATCATATTATTATATATCTAACATATATAATATATATAGTATATATATATATATCTATATATATATATATATATATATATGTTTGTGTGTGTGGTGTGTGGGTATATATATATAGTATATATTAAATAGATATAATATATATATATATATATACTTAATATAATATATATGCATATGTTATATATGTATATTATAAATTCATACTATGTATATATAAATACACATATATATATATGTTATATTATGTAAGCGTAAGTGGCCACGCAAATCCACTAGATGTAAGGTAACAGAGATGGTCGGGGCGCGCAATAGAAAGGGGTCTTAACTGCTGGTTTATTTATGAAGAAGATATGAGACCCCAAGAGGACCCCGTGTCCCCGGGTGGAGACGAGGTGGTGGAGCTGGACCCGTGCGCTTGCATGTCTGCCGTTTGTTCCGTGTCTGTCCGTGGTCTTAGGCACGTGCCCTTTTATGCGGCTGTTTCCTTGGAAGGCGGATGTTTATCCTGTGTGACAAGAGAAAAGGAGGGCAGCACCTGCATCTTGCGCAAGGAGAAAGGGCATTGCTTGGACCGAGGTGTGAATCTGCCATCCGGTCTGCTACGTGTTGTTCACATCGCTCGGTCCGCGCGAAAGGCTCGTCACCGAGCCGTCTGACAAACGCTGAACACTGCAGTAGTAGCGCATAGGGATACAGGTTCCTGGTGCGGTGGTCTACAGATGGTTCCTGGTGATCCGAATGGTCGCTTGGGTTCGTCGGCGTCAAGTAGCGGGTGCGGCGGAGGTTCGCACTGAGGTGCCAACATTCAGTAGCGAGGAGGGTCAAATCATCTTCAGAAGCTGACATATAAAGTGTACCAGGGCAGTAAAAAGGGCTAAGGAGGAGGATTTAATAATGGTTTGTCAATCACCGTACTAAGTTGCAAGAAAAAAAATTAGGGCATAATAAGAATATTTGTTACGAGAAGGGTAATGTGGCAAGTAAGTGGGATGTTAATTACATGGTTGTTAGGATTAGCGAGTTCTGTAGAGTACCATCATTACCGAAGAGAGAAAAAGTCATTGGACAAGAATTCCATATCTTTGGGCTAAATAGGGCAAAAGTATATAGCTTTCGAAAATAAGGCAGCGGCCTGAACTTAATCTAAAAGTGACGCGTCTCGGCGCTTCAATCGTATGCAGCGTAAGTGTGCTGCGGGAGCAGGATTCTCTTCGTTCTAGGCCATGAGCCGGGCGTCGCGCGGTATGGGGCGCTTCAATCGTATGAGCGTAAGTACCATAGCGGTGCGGCGGGCGCAGGATTCCTTCGTTTAACGGCCTGAGCCGGGCGGCGGTCTGGGGCGCTTCAATCGTATGAGAGTAAATAAACATCAACCGGTGCGGCGGGCGCAGGCTTCATTGTTTACGGCCTGAGCCGGGGCGTGAGCGTTTCGGGCGCTTCAATCGTATGAAGCGTAAAGAATATCTCGGATGCGCAGGGCGCAGGATTCTTTCGTATACGGCCAGAGCCGGGCTGAATAATTAACTTGCGGTGATAATAATAATGTTAAGCCTTATATGAAGTATGGGTGTCTGTAATGAATTATCACCGTATGATTATTTGCTAATAGACTACCTACATCAGTCAGAGTACAAGGACATATTCACCAATTCCTTAAACTAAAGAAGCATAAATTCTGCACAGAGAGTATCAGATATGAACATTCGCGAAGGAAGTCATGAAAGCGATTTGGGTCGTTAAAATTCTTAGGGATTGCACTTAGTAAAATTCATAATCCTAGGGTGAAATCCGTGTGGAAGTGGGCAGGTAGGTGGGTTTGGGCTTAAGGCAGGTAATGGACAGTATCTTAAACCTATGTGTGAAAAGCGAAAACGATTAGCGTGGGGAGTATAAGTAAATAAAGGTGTTGTGAAAGACAGAACGATATACGCAAATTCAAGAGGAAGTAGTAACGAGTTACTTACTAATAGGGTCAGTATGCAGGTGGAAAACAATAACATCACAGCGAAAATCGTAGCAGTAAATACAAATAACATAACGGGGGAATCGAAACATATCAATACAGAGTTATTTGTCCTAAGAGAAAATAAAATATAATGAACTGCACTGTGAAAACAACCAAAATAAACTTCAGGATAAAATACAATAACAGAAAAAATACCATAGCAATATTAAAGTATGGTAGGGAAGGGGAATGAGGTGGGGGTGTGGGGGGTGTCACTTAGTTGATCTCGGTGTGTGACTTCGCTGTTGTGTTGAAAAAAACAATGGTGAACAGCCGAGAAGTTATGGATTATATAGTTAGTAGTGTGTTCGTTGAGTGGATTGTACTTGAACTTGAAAGAAGGCAACTTGTATGTAAGGTGTGGTGGATAGGGAGGGCAATAGTTAATCTGGCACTAAATAGGCCACACTTACTTTATAGTAGATAGGAAGTATTGGTGGTGCTGAGTAGAATGGCGGCTCCATGGTTGTGCTGACGAAGTTCGGAAGACGTGGCGAGGAGATGAGCCGGATTTGTGGCGGCGTTAGAGTGCGGGAACATATCGTCAGCGACTTCGTCAGGAGGGTAGCAAAGACGTGAGTAGTCAGCACGAAGTAGTAGGGTTAGACATGGTGCGAACGAAAGAAGACTGGTGCTAGCGATGGCGGGCGTTAAAGTAGGCGAGGAGGCACTCGACAAGACTAGATTGTAGGCAGATAGCATGGATCGGCGTCGGCGAGGAGGGTAAACGTAAGGCGTTGTGAGGGTCTTGATCACCGCTGCATCAGTGTAACCGTAAGTTGACCACCAGCTGCCATCAGATGTAGCGTAAGCGTTGTGAGGTTCTTGATACACGCTGCCATCAGATGTAAGCGTAAGTGAAACGCAAGCCCACTAGATGTAAGCGTAACATAGATGTCTGGGGCGGTCAATGAAAGGGGTCTTAACTTGTGTTTATTTCTGAAGATAGATATGAGACCCAAGAGGACCCCGTGTCCCGGGGGAGGACGAGGTGGTGGAAGCTGGACCCTGTGCGATTGGCCTGTCTGCGTGTCTCCGTGTCGTCCCCGTGTCTTAGGCACGTGCCCTTTATGCAGGCTGTTTCCTGGAGGGCGGATGTTTATTCCTGTGTGAAAAGAGAAAGGAGGGCAGCACCTGCATCTGCGCAAGGAGAAAGGCATTTGCTGGACCGAGGGTGATTTCTGCCATCCGGTCTTGCTAAGTTGTTCACAATATATACATGTATGATATATTTGTATATATACATAGGTTATAACATAGTATATAACATATGTGTATATATCTATGTATATATATATATATATATATATATACTAGATATATAATATGTAATATACATATGTATATAACATTGTATATACATATGTATATATATATATAATAGATATATAAATAGTATATATATATATAGATGTATACTATACACACATATATAACAGATAGTCCCCTACTTAAGAACATTCAACTTATGACATTCCATACAT